TGAGAATATCTCCAAGATTTTACTATCTTTTCTTTGTTATTTAGATCTTTTGGTATATTAAGTTTCAGTGGAACTAACTTCTCATTTTAAGCAGCCAAAATCATTCGTACTGACACTAGATAGATTTTATAACTTGGGCTTGTTTGCACACTGTGGGATTTATTATTGGTGTTTTCCCCTCCTCCCTCTGAGATCACTTCTCTGTATTTTCATCTCCCTTTCACTCAGGAGAGTCTTTAACTGTCTGAGCTGGATTTCCTAGTTGTAAATGTTAATGTGAGCTGGGATCGATGAGGATATTAAGGCGACCAGCCTCTCTTTGTCTTATCAGCCTGATGAGGCAGAACACACCACACTGCTCTCCCTCGCTTTCTGATTCACACACACAAACACACCGACACACGAGTGCATATATAAAGGATACAAGTAGTTTCTTTCTGTTTTTCTTCTCCCCCCCACACACCCACACGAAAGCCCACACACACATTCAGGCAATATCTTTTTTTCTGTCTGCATCTCTGCCATGCTAAATAATTTAATCACTTAACAGAAACAGCCAACCATGCTATTCCAGTCTCCACCATGGAGGGTAAATTATAGCTGGGTAGGCACAGAACAGCCATTACTGTAAGGCCTTATGAAGACGTATTATGGACCCATGCTTTGTTTAGACCTTGTCATTGTCAAAGCGCTAAATATGCCAGAGGTGGAGTGAGGTATTGTATGTCCTTTGAAGTGGATATAGTATAATGCTGGTATGGGTTTTAAAAGGCTGGGGCTGTTAGTGTTGGATGTGCAGTGACTGAAAAATGTGGCCAATGGAAGGTGTGAGTATGTATGTGTGTGTTAACTTGAGAGAAGGGAGAGCAAGGCTACAGGCAGTGGAAGGTGAGAGCACTGCTAACTGAAAGGATGTCCACACTATATGAATGCATATACGACAAAATGGACACGGATAATGCATGTGCAAATGCTAAGTTCATAAGTCCAGCATGCATATCATCACATTTGTTTGTTGATAGGATGAACTTCTTAGCAAACAGTTGCTTATTTATACATCTAGCATTTCCAAAGCAACACTATGATTGATTTAGAGTTGTGTTTCGGGCCACATGGCTGATGTTAGTCCAATATTCATTTTCTTTTAGCTCAATTTAAAGTTTTTCAATCTGGACAGAATTTTCATACAGGTCTGTATTTAAAGTGAAATGCTGGATTAGAGTGGGTACAAACCCCAATACAGAAAGAAATAGATATGTTTTTACTACATTACCGAGGCATGACCATAAAATTTTACTTGGAGTAGCGCAAGTGTAATTGGTCATTTTCTGTCTGAGAGGTGGAGTGATTTTAGAGGCAAATATTTATGCAAATGAGATATTAATTAAATTATTAATATGTTTTATTATGGATTAAAAGCTACACATCTGGTTTCAAGAAGGCCTATCACATTTCTTTTATAGAAAAACATGCATATAAATATTTTTCTATATAAAACTGACCCTCTTCATAATGCTCTATTTGTTCAGTTCAGTATCTTTTTCAAAGGAGAATTCCAGCGTCAGAGGTTGTAACTCATAGTGTTATACTCCAGGTAAGCACAAAGAAACAGGCAATCTTGTTGCTGTCTTTGCTGAGCTGTTATCGAACACCTCTTGGCTCGGAGTCCCATGCTGTGTGTTGGCTGGAACAGACAACAGAATGTATAAATGCCACGTTGTCATTCTTTTTTACCTAGTTTTGTTACATTCCTTTCATTTTTCTCTTCACAAACACAGTCAAATTTATGTGCATGTGCAAACACAGACTGGTGATTGTTTGTTGTTTTTTTTTATCATTACTATTATCTCTAATTCCTTCTATTAAAATTACTTAAAGTTTTAATTGTGGAAAAACGGAAATTTCAAATAAAATTATTGTTCTGTTCCAATTCTTTCTTTAGACTTTGACATTACAAGCTTTTCATTACATAAACACAAACATTTCAAAATTATTGATTATATATATCAAAACAAACAAGTCAGTGGTGGAAAGTAACTATGTACACAAAAGCACAGTTGCTATTAAAAATTAACAATGGCTCTGTTCTATTGAAGGCCCCATTAACATGTGATCTGTGACTGGATCTAGATTATCTGGATAATGACATCTCATCTAAAGGCCTTTGACCTGGCACTGATAATGCTTTTGGGTTCACTTTAAGTCAATGATCAGATTTCAATATGAAAATTAGTTAGAAAACATGGTCTGCCCCAGGCAAAGGAAAACAATTTTTGTATGGGCATTATTCATTATTAAATGACTTTTTGTGAGGGAAGACTTGCTAGCTGCTGCTGCTGCTGCTTTTAGCTTTTGCTGGAACTGCTTATGTAGGTGGAGGAGGAGGCAAAGTCAGGTGACCTTTCTTGGTGTTGTTTTTGTTCTTAATAATGTTGTCACACATTGCATTGCACATTCTCCATGTATTTACACCTTAACACAAGTTTTTACCTTACCTAGATAGGATATCCAAATATAGTAATGCCAGGTATAAATGCAGCACAAATGTCCCATTAAGCCATGACAGTGTGAAAGTGAGACTGCGCACACATAATGAAGCAGCCAAACAGAATTCAGCCATCATTAATTTTATAATTTACAACTGTGCTTTTCCTACCAGGACATATTAAAATACCTTAGGTGAAAAACAAGAACTAATTATTTATTAAATTTAGAGACACTGTGTATTTCCATTATTCAATATGTTACTTTATACTCTCCATCAAACTTGTTTTTGTATTTCTGTTAATGTACAAATGAAACAAAATTTTATTAACCTGTTCATTGGTGAGCTTTAGAGGTGCTATTGTGCAAGAGCCAGGCTAGCTGGTTTTGCAGAATGAACAGAGAAGAAGAAAACACTGAGGCTGAGTGCTGCATATAGATGGTGTGTTGTGGTTTCCCAGAAAGTCATTACCCTGACAGTGGTCTGCTGCCCCCTGAGGTGTTTCACTTCACAACTTGCCATGCTGGAACTGTTTTTATATATATAATATTACTTACCACTGCCTTGATAGCCACATTTCCTCTCAAAACACAAACAAACACAAGCATTAGCGTGTTCAAATGAGAACAGTGTAAAAATGATTGCCCCCATCAAATTTGCAGGGGCCCTCTTGTACTACAGCAGCATGTGAAACTACAGGCTGAGGAAATACACTGATGTCACCCCTGTATAAAAGTCATTACCCATCCTCCACTCTTCTGTTACAGCCACACTAAAGCTCACACTATATGCAACCCCGGGGCTTTCTATCTGTCTGTGTGTCTGTTTATTTTAGCTGGGTCTTATCTGCAGTGTGTGTGTGCATGTTGATGAGCATATGCTTTAAGTTAATGCAGACAAACACGCATGAGTAGTTGTCTATTCTTTGTTGTTTACATCTGCAGAGTATGAGTGTCTTATGCATCTCTCTTTAAAAGCCTCCTGCTCCTGCCTCTCCTTGTATCGCATGGTCTACACTAAGATGCCCCCATCCCTGCTCTACCACCCCCACCTCAAACTGATGGCACCTGCTTTCCTCCTCAGTACCACTTGGATTGAAACATATAGTTTTCTAATTCAAGTTAAATATAACCATGAAGACCCAGAGTATGTCTTTGCAATGAAAAATAAATCCACACATTAGAATAAATAAATGTTACAAATGTAAACCAACTGTAACATGGTGTAATGACTTAAATTGGTTGAAAATGTGGTTTTCCATCCAGTTGGATCACTTTTTTATTGATTGGATGGTTTTCCTTAGTGACAGTTATAGGCTTCATTCCAATGAATCAGCCTTCCTATGGTATGATTGGAAAATTTACAGGGCACTGAATTCAGTACTATATAGTCATCTAGAGTTTTGGGTTTGCTTAAGGCTGTAGGCTCAGTGAATTTATGGTCGACTATAGGGAGTCCCACCAAAGATGTAGGTGTAGGTTTTTATTCATAGTTTTGCATCAACACCAAAGCACTGGTATAGTGTATGCTGCCTGATCAGGCTGTGTCCTGTGTATATAGCTGTGTATATTTCATTGGGTTCTGCTGAGTTATACTATAGTTGTTCTAAATGGCTGCTCTTTGCGGCGGAGTTTAAACCTGGTCATCACTGAGGGGGGGGCAGAAACGACATTCTGTCCAGGAAGACATTAGACATAGTGTTGCACTCAGGGGTTCACATGAGAACTGCCACAAATAGCTGTGCAACAAATGCAAAAAGAGAGCCAGAGAGAAGAAGACACCCAGTATACTGCCCCCTTTATATTCCCCATATTAACTGTACTTATACGCTTTCATTATTTCATGATATGAACAACAGTAAGGACTGCACTGTATCATTACTGCATATGGGACTGTTCTGTCTGGTCGCCATATTTACATTGTTGTATTTACTGTTAAATGTAAGCAATTGTGCAGTGAAAATGGCTCAGCTAGGTAGCCTATGTCTTCCAGAAAAGGAGAAAATAACTGCAAGCCTGTTTGCATCTCGCGTCATGTTGTCTTCATGGTCACCAATGTTTACCAGAATGCCAGACTTCAACTTAAAACCATTACCATTTATTTAGGCCCGTGAAATAGTTCAAATATAAGATATAATCAATGCATTGGATTAATTTGGTGTAACACTAATAAATAAATAAAAATTTTGTCTAATCAGTTTGAACGTATAACAGCAAAACTAGCATGCGAACAGCTGCAATCCAAAAATAGCTAATATATTAATTATTATATGAGGCTTTAAAATATCATATTGGTCTAAAATTAATTTTAACTTAGTATTTGTAAGTTGTTTTTGTTGAGTTTCTGCCAACCCCAGTTCCACCACACCATTCTTTTCCATACTGCGACACCCACTTTGATGTTTATGTGACTGGAGCGTGCTTCCTGCAGAAGAGCTCAGGCCTACCTCATTTTCGCCTGGCAGGTCAGCTGCTCTGTGTTCAGTCTGAAGCCGTTGGCTGCTACTGAACCGTTTGGCTCTTTTCTCTACTAGCGAGCAAACCTACAATCTAGACCCAACTGTCCATCCAGCTCATTTTTAAGGGGATTTATCATTATATGTGCCCGTGTATCCAAAACACATCGGTCATTGGGGATTCCTAGCATCGGTTGGCCGGGTCTGAAGGCCGTTATAACGCTTTTTTCGAGGTTTAATTAGAGCTAGAAAACAACGGTGGTGGAGGAGGAGGAGATTCCATATTAGGAGCACAGAGGAGAAGGCACCCCCCTTGTGTGATTTGGAGCTTCTGGTGAGTGTTTATCGTCTTTTTACGTTATTATTGCCGTTATAAATTATACCCCCGTTTAGACTGATAACATATGACTGTGAATACAAGGTTTGGGCGGGTTATTGTGCTGTTTTGAACGTTTATTTTTATATTTTCTTTCGGGGTGGGGGATGGGCAGCGTCAGCGCGTGAGTAGGCGCGCGCGCAATGTGCATGTGTTCGTAGGGCAGTTCTTGTGCGTGGTTTGTATTTGTGAGCGCGCCCTTCCTTCCTGCAACTACTGCTAGCTTTGAAATAAAACCACTTTAGTGATTTTAGTTCTCAATCATAAAGATATCATTTACAATACATGTTTCATGCTGGTAAAACAAACACTGAAATTCAATTTCTTTTACTTAGCAATTCACTTTTTATTGAGATGTTTTGTTTTTCATTATTATTTCTGTTAATTTTCACACTTTTCCATCATGGGTTCAAGCTTTTATTTCTTACTTACTTTAATTAATTTTTGTTTGATTACACTTTGTACCTGTATTCATAAGTGCTTTGTATTGTTTTTAAAAAAGCAACAAAAGCTACAGCAATTGCAAATCAAAACTGAAACTGTTTAGATACAGTTCTGATTTTGTGCCATAGTTGTACATACAAGTTTGAGGTGTTATGCTTTACAAGCCCATAGTTATCACCACTGTTTAACCATGATTGTCTGCAACATACAGTAATTTCTGAATATGCAAAAGTGCATTGCATTTGATTGTATGATATCACTTTGTTTTATCACCTTTGTGTCAATCTTATTCAAAGATTACTAGAGTGCTTTGCAGCTGGTTGCTCCAAAGCCATGGGTGGTGTGGGGGAGGGGTGAACACACACATGCCACACACACACACACACACACACACACACACACACACACACACACACACACACACACACACACACACCCAGGAGGGCCACTTGCCAACCTTGTGAAGCTCAATTCAATGACACAATGTACCAGTCCCAGATAAGCCTTTAGTATCTGTGCTAGGAAGGAAAGGGTTGTTAATATAGACTCTGTTTAACCAGAGGTACTAATTGCTAATTGGGCTAAGGTATTTTTAGGCATTGAAATTTTGTTTTCTGTTTTGAAAGCACAACAACAGATTCTATTGAATATTTTCTAGTAGCCTGTTGCCTTCAGGATTTGTTTGCCTGTGTTGCTTTGTTCTGATCAAATATTGCAGCTAATGTTTAAAGTGGGTTATATAAATGGTAACGTAGTAAGTGGTGTGCTGATGAGTGTGTGAATTCATTATATAATATATTGGAATGCCATGGAGTGCAGTTTCTCTCATAAACCATGCTCACTTACCAAAGGAAAAAAAAGGCTGTGTGTATTTACATTTTTTATTCATTGTTCTTAGTAGAGCCTGATCAAAACTGGATTTTTGAAACTGGTATTGATATTTGGTATTTATATTGGATAACAGTATATTAGTGGTTTTTAACGTGAGCACAGAAGAACAACATCTACTTCCATTGGCTGCCTGTATTTTTTTAAAAGTTTCTCAGGCAGTATTGGCTTTAGTTGGGCCTTATCATGCTATATATGGCTGGTTGACCATGCTGAATATATCCCATATATTTGACTGTGTGACAAGACTATTTGGTCATCTTTTTTTGAATTAGTATCATTGACTACTTTCTAGTTGTTTCCCCTCTCACAGGTGCATGAAATATACGCATGTCAGCAGTCAGTTTGCTATCAGTCTTTGTGGTGTATTCAAGTGCAATTTTGAACAGAAGATGTGAGGCAATACGTCCTTCACTCTTTTGCACTAGTACATTAAGGCTGGCTCAGTCTGTCAAGCAAGGACACCTGCCAAACACACAGAAACAAAAAGTATTTTTTGTGCCCACTGGATGTAATCTGTAGCTGTTTAATGCTAACAAATTAATGGGTATATCTTCAGGAGATGAATGTTCAAACGGTCGTAGGTACATCTGTAGGCCCTGTTTAGCTTGGTATACGAAGAGAAACCCCTGTGTCCTTTGTCAGCTCTTCAAAATGATGAAAGAAAGGCTTTATGCATTAAATATATTGAGTGGATGATAGTAGAATTGTAGCTAGGTTGGAGGCAGGGTTGGCTTGTCTCTGTATTTCCTGTATTATTGGAAACAAATCCAGTTAATTGAGGCTGAATGGGTTAAGTTTCCCCAGACATTGCCTCTATTGTTTTTGTGTTTGTGCTGTCATGATCACACCCCTGACCTCTTTTCGTTTTTATATTAGTTAACTGGTCTGATATGGTTGTTGTTGGGTCACAGATTATTATATTTTAAGCACTAATTAGTTACTGGTTACAACAGCAGCACTTTAGATAAAAAATCTGCTCTTTGCTGTGCTGTTAAAGGTCATCTTTATACACCAAACTCAACTTTCATTGGATGTAGCTCAAGTACTCTAGTGTAAAAAAAGTTGCCCTGTGTCCATCATTTATGACCTACATTTAGATCCGACTCACACCTGCACATGTTATGTAGGTTGCTTGACAAAGAAAGATCTGAATTGATCAATCATTTGCAGCATGTGTTGGGTTCCCCCCTGTTCCACTGCTCAACCTTTAAGCAGATAACTTCATTTTAGTAAGTAACCCTTCATCATAATTAAGCTTGCTAGCTACATTGTAAGGTGTTTAATCACACCTAAATATACCATATACTACTGTATTCTGCCTAGGGACTATGGATGTAAATTAACATTTTTGCCTCAGTCCGGCAAGTTTACATCATGTATTTCTTACAGGTGTTCATCAACACGCATTGTCCCTATCAAATAAACAAATAAATATCTGTCTGTCTTGTAACATCTGATTGGCTGTTTATCATGTAGCTTGTAACATGTCATGTTCTTAGATTGATGAATATCAATCTCCTCATAAATTGAAAGCGTGTGCCAGTTGGCCCTAATTAGCATAGGTAAAAGCCCAAAAATGCTCTCAAAAGGGCATTAGACTGAAGAGTTGTGTGCAGACACAGACAGAAGTCACAAAGAGATACTGTAAGGGAAAGATGAGAAAATGCCAAAACGAAAATCCAAAGATGGAGCACCAGAATCAAAACGCATAAGGAACTTATGCATACTGCTGCAGAAAGTGAGCCGCAAACGAGCAGTGAAGTGTTAATGTAGCATTTATTTTTTTGTTTTTATTTATTTATTTATTTATATCATTTATAAGACCATAATGGTTTGTAAAATAACAAGTTATTAGAAAAATATTATAAATGACAAAATATTATTGTAATTTAATTAATATATTATATAACTGTAGAACCGAAGAAAACACAATAACCACTTATTTTGCTCAATCATGTCAGCACTCAAATGTGCGTAAGAGTGCTCTTGAGTGTGCGTAGATTCTGTTCTTACCTAAGAACAAATCCTAAATAAGAAAACATTGGTGAATGTCAGAATCTTCGTGAAAAGTGCGTAAGTGGGTTTTAAGAAGAAATGGTTGGCCCATTGTCGTTTCCATTCTTGAACATTGTGGTTTAATGCAGAATATTAAAAGTTTGGATGTGTAAAGCTATATCTTTCTCAATTCCATTCCTTGTTATTCTGGTTGCTTTATCAAGTAATATGAATGTATCTTTAGAGAAAATACACAAATTAACACTTCCTTGGGTAGTGTCTGGTCAAATCAGTTTTAACTCTGACAATATAAAATTTACTATTTTAAATTGTGAAGCTATCCATAAAGTCTTGGGTATGTATTAGGCTGAAAGATATACACATCAATATATAGATAGATCATAATGTAATCCAAATAAATAGCCCAGCAATGAATCCTACCCCTTGTAAAACCTATCGCTTGGTTTTTGTTGACAATGTCAGAGAGGTGTTAATTCACTTCTGTGGTCATCTTGGAGGCCATGCTCCTTGGTACTGTGGAATCATGTTGCACTATGCTAAAAGCTGTTTCTAACATTTTGCCCATCCTTAAGTGGACCACATCCAAATAGCAGATGTAGTTTTTTTTTTTACTCACTAAAAATCCTTTTTTTGGTGGTTTCTTTTTTTCCATAACTGTACTGATACTCTGTAATGATGCTTCCAGGATGAGAGAAGAAGACAAAACCGTCTCAAAGCCAAACTCTCCCTGCTTTATGTCTGCCATCTTTTGATATTAGAATACATCAGAGAGTGATGAAAGTAAACTAGGCTGCCTCACCTCGTTACAGTGATATCGTTTACAGTCATTAAATGGTATGTACGAAATTTAAAACAATAATACAGCATCAAACAGCTATTTTCTCAAACATATAGTGTAGTCATGGCGTCCTGAGCAGAGAACAAAGTCACACTCTCTCTCTGTGTGTTTTAATCTGAGCTTCTCTGTTCTTTGTTTTGGTATGTTAGTCCATGTGAGTGTGCATGTTAGTGCATGTGAGTCCCTCCCTGTTAAACTGTTGGCCCTTCCTATGTTTACAAAGACATAGATGGCAAAGTGCAATACACAGCGTTCAGCTGAAAGTGACCTTCCAAAATTTCCTCCAGTGAAGAAACCATGTTTTTTAGCTTAAAAGGCCTCAGACAAAGAAAGAGATAAGACCAGAGCATAGGCGAACTGGCCATGGGGAGTACCGTCTCAAATCGGCCGTTTTTACTGGCTCCGTCATTGTCATTCGTGTGGCTTTTCCCAGCTGACAAGTCCAAGACTGAACTTCTTTCCCAGTCTGACTGTGCAGCAAATACTGGTCAGGCTTTTCTGAAATAGAGAGCCCTACGAGCTGCTGTTAAGAGCTCTAGCTTGACTCTGAAATGGCTTTTCTTCTCCTTGATGCGTAAGTGACTTGATGGCTACCTAATGTTACATGTCTCTTTTCATTAGTGATTGGTTAGAAAACCCACGATAACGTTCGCTAACTTGCTGTTACCGATATTATGAATTTGTTTTGGCAAATATTGCTACCGATAGTTGGCTTAATTCCAGTGTTGCCATTGAGAATATCATGGCAATGCTAGTGCGGGCTATTCAT